TCACCCACAAATACTGTTCTTATCAGCAAGGGTCATAAAATAACAGGATTACACCTCCAGTTCTTACCTAGTTCTAAGAATTTACCTTTTTGGCACTGGTCCTAGACTTTTGCCAAGGGAGCCTTATGGCCTGACTGTGTCAAGTCTGCACCTTCCATTGCCAATTTTTTGCAAATAGGCATTAATAAGCTTTGTGGAAATCTACACAATCTACAGATACTTTACACAAGAGGCAGGATACCCATTTCAAAACAATCCTCTTTTTTGGGGGGGTCTTTACTTTCCTTTTTACTTTCTTCTGAATGTCCAGGTTTATCATCTCTTCCTTTACATACCCAAGTTATTTCACTTAAAAATGGCAAAGCAAACTTCACAAGAAAACTATGTTTGTAGTATTACTTTTATCTCTGCCCAAAAATATCTCTACTTCTAAGCCTTCTAGGCAATTAGCATTTTGACATGGGAGGTCTTCATTTCATGTGTCAGCTAGCTTCTGTGTTCACTGGTTTCACTGCCATGTGATCATCAACCACACTTTTTATCTCCAGGATTTCCACTTCATTCATGTATCTAACTTGACTTGCGTATAACAAGTTAGTAAATTTATTCCTTGCTGTATGTCTCACATGTGACAATGTCACATGTCCTGTGTCCCCTGGCTGCCACTCACTTGTTTTGATTACCTGTGAAAGACTCTGCCATATGTTGATGTCCTTGCTGCCAATGTGACTTCCACACTATCACCTCTTCCAGAAAGTGGATGAAACTTCCATCAGGCCTACTGAGCAATGAATGATACAGAGCCAGCGGAGAGATGAAGTCATGTCTCTCACATAATGATGATACAAACGCTTCTGACATTAGCTACAATGGAAACATCTCTCGTGTAATGTTCTCTTAGATAATTTGTTAGCAGGGAACATGTATCGGTATTCATTACTGCTTTATACATCCTGCACTCACTGAGCACTCAGCATGAGAAAGATTAAATAGCTCTGCTAAATACACTGTCTCAATGCTAATGACCGGTTCAGCTACTTTTCAGTCACATCTTAAGCTATTCAATGCTTTTTCTACAACTTTTCCACACTTTCTTCATCAAATTTATCTGTAAATGTGCACCACCCATGCCAAGCCCAAACCTATAGTATGTGCACTCAAAATATATGCAGGTGTTTTCTTCAATAAGTGATATATCATACGAAGACAGAACGAAAAAAGAATGAAAGTGAAAAAAAGGTTAACCTTATTTGCTCAAAGATACCCATAAATGATTTATTCAGGGAATTGGATGGCAGAAGGTTAAGTTTATAGCTAACACAATGGCTTTATGTGTGCAGGAACATCTGCAAGCTATATTTTGCTGTCAATGTTTTTGTAAAAAAGCTGAAGAAGTTGAAACCCCAGGAGTTAGAGGATACAAGCAGTGGTAAAAAAAGCCATCCTCTGGAATCTTGTATGAAAATATTCACTACATCATAGACCAACACCCAATTCCATACAGTATATATTGTGATAGAGCAATACAAGAAAAGTAATCTTAGGTGATATTCTTTCATTATGGAAGCTACAGAATAAACTCAGGTAAACTTCTTGGTGATGAAGTACAACATACCTAAGAATGATTTCTTTATTAAAAATTGTAATACAAATATGATTGGAAAGGCCGTTTCATAAAAAGTTGCCATAATCTGTTGTCTAAAATTAAATTCCAGAGAGTGAAACAATCTGTAATTGTAAAGACTATAAGCATATTTAAACACATGTAGAAGAAGCTCGAACATCTTCAGATATATTCTCCTAAATATGTTTTATTTGTTTGCTTTAATGTTAGCATATATAAAATACTTCTACAGAAAAAGCTTATGCTGCAGGTAGACATAGAAGGTGGACAGGGCTGCCAAGTCAATTTGCTGGAAAACTGTAGGAAACTTGTGGTGTTATTACTCATATAGGTTTTTCTGGATAAAAGCAGACATGTTTAGTTATCTAATAAGTTTTGTAGGGCTCTGTTATTATTTTTCTTAAGTGTCTTGAATCCTTGACATAAAAGAGGCTCAAAGATTACGCATTTTGAATATTTGAATTTCCATTTTCTTCCAAAACTTTATTTTCTGTGAGAATTCTCACAAACTTTCTGTTAAAAGGAGACTTTTGTCCTAATAATGAAAAGTTGTAAGCAACTCTGTGAGTTACTTAATGTAGAAAATCCTTGTTACAGCTACAATGCCCTTACAGATGCTCTTGTGTGTATGACCTCTCCAGATGCACAACAGCTTGTCAGCCTTTCTGCAGCCACGATTGTCAATTTGATTCACACTGATCCCTCCTTCATGGGTTATCTTAAAATAGCACAGTATAAATGAAATCTTGCAATTATTACAGATACTCAGGTGTTATGGCAAGATGGCCTATGCTGATTTGGCCCTGAGAACTTGTGTGGTTGATAAATATTTTCTGAGGACAATTGGCCCTGTGCATACAGTCGCAGCAACACGCAGCTTGTTGTTGAAAGAGTAGTGATAGCTGGTCCTGCTGCTGTCCTTTTTAAACTAAGTGATAAACAGCACAGGAAAAATAGAGGTTGGAGGGAGAAGCTGAAGGAAAAGGAGATACCATATAAAGCCTTGCTGGCCCACAGCCATGCTACCTTTGGCTTGCCAAATTGCCACAGCTAGCCATCAAGGCCTTCCCTTTTTTCTTTTCCTCCCTTTCCTGCAGTGAGTCACTCTTGAAGACATTAACTGGGTTATTCTGTGAGCTGATGAAACACACTGTGTACTCTCTTAATCTGTTTTCTGTTCACCATTACATAGTGTACAAAATTACTTAATATTGCTTTTCTAGATTTGTAAACATTATTCTCACACCTTTTTAAATAGTCCCCTATTACTGTAATTATGAACATGTTGTGTTTGCACAGCCTGAGAAGTGTTATGTGTTACAGAGACAAAAAGTAGCTGTTCTTTTGTTGTGAGAGAAAAATAATATTCTTCATTTAAACTCAGTTTGGTTTAGTGGGGTGTTAATGCACTGAAGCCGATATTATCAAGAGGGTATCTTTACTTAAAAGGCAACAGGAAGGAAAATCATGTTAAATTGTGGAAACATTGCATTTTTGCAGAAGCTGATTATTTAAGCCAGAAATTTATGAAACATGGAACTGATGACATCATATATTCTCTCCAGTCTCTAGAAATGATTAAATATGTTAGATAAATCAAAGTATCGGTCACACTGAATATACAGAAAAAATATGCTAGTTTCCAGTGACAACACACATTCTGTAATAAAGAAGACTTGCAATATCCCATGTATACCAAAGAAAACAAGAGAAGGAGATGGCCAGAATTTGCATCAGGCATCCTTCCTATAGGTTTCTTTATCCATGTGCAGGCTGAGGATCATAACTAGGACTTGAGTACTGGGAAGAGTAGAGGTTAGAAACTCAGGAATCATGTACTATCTGATAGTACTTTTCTTTCTAGATTTGCTTTGCAGTTGAGTTGCACCTTTAAGAGATCTATGTGCTTTGACATCACAGCAATGGAAAGCTAGACAGTTAAAGTATTTTAGGTTTCCTTGAGCTTCTTGTAGCCTAATAGTTCCCCAGTCTATAGGAACCTTACACTAACAGATGAAGAATCTAAATGAACTATAAATGTCCAGGCCTTTATTAAATAAAGCTTAGTGTGAGAGAAAAAAAATCACCTACACACTTATTTCCAATTCTAATAGCTACTTTAATGCTTTTCTGTCTGTTCTCTCTGCTGAGGTTTCTATTCTCTGCTCAGTTTTCCTTTTGCATTTTTTTTTTTATTTGATGTACTAGATGCTCTCCTAAGTGACACATTCCAACCACAGTCACTGAATGTGACAGCCATGCTGTATCTAGTCATGAAATGCTCTGCTCAGGCACCTGATAGCATTTCAGAAAAAAACCTCTCTTGCTCTAAAACCAATGTGAGGTGTTTAGCTTAGGTGAATGTAACTAGACTGATAATTGCAGAATGATTGATAAATTAAATAGGAATACTATTTTTTGTATTGTGAAACAATTTTGAGTATTTTTGCAATTCAACTATTTCAAGTTTCTAGATGAGATTTCATAAAATATAAACAAAAAAATACAGACAAAATATATACCTCATTTTTTAATGACTGTAAACTCTGTAAAAGCCTGTTTTCTGAAGGATAGAATAAATCCTAGTTCAAGGATCTGTGTTTTAAGGAGAGAAAGGTGGGACTGAATTGAAGCTTACTGTGAAGCATCTTCAACCATCCTGGAAAACTGAATTCAATTTTGCAGAGTTCTGTTACTTTTAAGATTATCTGAGAGGATTATTTGTATTTCTAGCTAAGCTCCAGGAAGCATATAATACATATAGAGTGGAGTTATAAAGTTGGGATCCTGTTAATCGTATACTTGGCATGTGTGCTTTTAGGACAGCACTTACTTGTGTGATTTTGGTCCACCATTTGTGATCTGTTTGAGGATTTCTGAGAATAACAAAGCTATATATAAACTTAAGATACTATTATCAGATGAAGGTCTGTCAGATTCAATAATCTTGGGTAGACAAACTGAGCTCCTGTGTACCACTTTGTGGTTTTAAGTTTGAAAAAGAGCAGGTTGCAAAAAATAAAAAGAACCTGTCTCCAAATTTATCATTGCCCTATGTCCTAGGAGCTCATTCAGCATTATTTATTCAAGATACCTTGTTGAGAAAGTAAATAATAATAAATCAAAGTGACACATTTTACAGAATATAGTGCTTTCTAGGTTGAAGAAAATGAACTAAAATTGCATTGTAAATGCACAGTTACCATTAACAGTATTGGAAACCTGGTGTTTAACAAACCAAGAATGACTCCAGAACTACACCTCTGTAATCAGATCTTCAAATGTTTTATCTCTAACATAAACTATATCAGTGAGTACCGTATCAGCAATGCAAGCTTGTAAATATCTCACTAAGAATGGAGGTGAGTATACTTACTACGTCAGCACGATAGCCACGGCATCATTTAGGACACTCTCTCCAAACAGGAGTGTGTACAAATCTGTATCTACATGCAGCTCATGGAAAATAGCAAGAACTGTCACTGTATGAAGACAAAGCAAAATGAGTTTGTTATTTTCATATTCCTCTGGCAGTTCAAGAAATAAAGCAATGTTAGAATATGCCTTTTGAGAAGTCCAGTCCTATTTATTGCCCAAGTGGATAACAATAAGTTAAAATCAATGAAGTATATAATCCAGCAAGTCTACAAGTTTTGATGCTTCAGCTTATCTATAATTATCTATAATAATGCTTATCTATCTGTTCATGCATAATAACCTCATACCCTGTCCTACTAGCAGCATAACGACTTTCACCTGAGGTATAGCATATCTGTAGTCATGAAGCTCTCTCATCCAGATTTGGATATCTGATACTTGTAACCCATTTTAAGGTTCCTTCAGCATATCACTAATTTAAGTTGTTACCTCCTCCTTAAGTTATATGCTATATTTGATTGTTATCTTACCAGTGAAATAGAAAAAATAGAATGTGTTGAATTTAAATTGAAGTTGGATAAATAATTTAGACATACATCCCCAAGGGCATTTAGATGCTTGGCTGATATCCAGGTAATTAAGTCCTATTGATATTAAAGAACACCTTATTTGTTTTATGCCTCAGTTTTCTTATCTGTAAACAGGAGATCGCAGTCCATCCCAAGATTCACCTAGCACTTCATAATCTCCAAATGAAGGTGGCTATCTGTGTGCTGTGTTGATATTATTATTATTTCTTTGCATGGACAAAGCAGAGCATTCTCTTTTCAAACAATTTAATGCAAAGGCTCCCAATTATTTGTATGGTTAAAAATTACATGTTAACTCACTGCTTCACTGGTGCTCATTCTAGTACATAATTGTGCAATTGACTCAATCTTTGTAGCCCAGGGATCCCAAAGATTAGGAGTGCTTCTCGGATGCCACATTAACATCTGACGTTTCAGAAATGAAAATTACTTTTACATTGAGATGGTTGCTGATAATTCACAGAAAAACATGAACAGGTGATTATGCTTTGTCTTAATAACATTTTTTGGAACTGTGAAATCATTGCTGATAAGATTTTCTAATGGCACTTAAATGTCTGTTTAATCTGAAAATCAGTTTATAAACCCAAAGTAGATTCTCAGTTCTCCTGTGAGATTTTATGTCAAAGTGATCTCTGTTGATGTGTTATCTTTGAAGAATTTTGGAAGTGTTATTCTACAGAAGACAATCTGGGAGATGTGCGTAGCTGAACGTTTGCTGATATAGCTATATTTAAATTAGATAGTTATATTTTACCATCCTGGTAATCTCACCCATCTACTCCCAGTGCAGTTATAATTTAAACTAGGAAGAGAGCTCTTTCTCCAGGAAGACACAAAGGTGTAGGAAGAATTTTTATTGGCAATAGATACCTTCATGGTTCAACAATACCTATATTCAGGTTTTTGCTTGATTAGCAAAAGCCTTAATGTACTAAATTTGGACCCAATTTAGATTCCCATTCTTACATGTCATTGGCTTGTTTTCTACAACTATTTTCCACTTCCAGCTTTTGCTTATTGGCTAATTAGTTTGGGCTCACATTAATAGTCCCTGAAATAATGACAGAAGGAAAAGAAAATTGTACTCAAAGTCCAGCGTACTGTTGGTATGTATGTGTAGCAGGCCAAGCCAATTAAACAGACACCTACACATTCCTCTCCTTCCTCTTGCCTCCTAAAAAAATCAGCTGTATCTTCTTGCTTTCTCTTCCAACTCTATCACAAAAATCTGACTTAAAATCTTTTCAAATGAACGTGGAATAATAAAGCAAGCAACACAATAATGAAGCAATTGTCTTTTCTGGGAGAGACTGTCCAGTTCACCCATTTCTCCCATTCCCAATGGTGGTTATTGCATCTTCTTTACAGCGTTGCCTGTACCTGACTGAGTACTTCTAGTTTCTTCTCTGTCCCTGTGTTTTCCTGGCCCAAGACACAGCAAGCTTCAGCCATACTACTGATGACAGATATTTGTCTGATCTGTTTTTAAATGGAATGATGTTAGTTCCAGAGATTGCAAGGGAGACTAACCCACTCTTCAGTATTCATGCAGTTTATAAATGCAGTTATTCCTCAATTACTAACCTAAATCTCCCCTCTTTCTCTTCAAGTCTGTAATTTCCATTCCTAGCCTAATGAGAAACAAATAATTTGTCACATTTATTCCCTTTTCTTTCCAGCAACATTTTGCCTATTCAAAGACTCATTTCATCTCCTGCCTAAACTGACTCATTTCTTTCAACCTCCTCCTTTCAGTGAGTTTTCTAGCCTGCTAATCACTTCTAATCAGTTGATAACTTTCCTGACATACAGTGCCCAAAATCAGATCCAAGTACTGTAGGTGACATTTTCTCAACATTTTCTGTTGAGAACGAAAAAAGAAGGGATGTGAAAAGATGCTTTAGAACAAGTAAATAAATCCTTTTTTTTGTTTTGGTTTTTGCTATGTATTGGTACTGATACATATTCAACATTTTCAGATTGTAAACTTGAAATTTTTTAGCAATGAATGCTTATTTTTGATCTTCTATCTATGAATTTGATTATTTCCAAGTGTTATCATTTATCCTTGTTGATTTTAAATCACTGCAAGAATCATACTGAATTCTAACTGTCCTTCAAAGTGTTTACAATCTCCTTTCAGCATAGTGTTATACATTAAAGAAGCATTCTCTATTGCGCTAGCCAACTCATTAATGAAAATGTTAAATAGTATCTTCATGAGAACAGAGCACTGTGTAATTTTTAGCACATTCACCCCATTTAAAAGTTCAATAAAACATTTTCACTTTGTTTTGCCAACCACCAATCATTTCCTCAAGATCACATTTGCCTTCATTAATTAAGAGAATTTATGGATATAGTTCAGAATGAGCATATTAAAAGGGACATGATACCCTTCTATGAAGAAAAGTTAATTTAAATTATTCTCTGGATAGAATAATACTCTATGAATAGTCATTATTGCCCAGAGTAGTCACATCACATTTTGTCTGATGGGAGCCTTTAAGACTCGAGAGAATAAATTTCAAAATTCAGTATTGGCAATCATATACCACAGTAACATATCTAATCTGAGAAATTTCATATCTAAGGCTTCCTGAAGGCACCTTTGGGAAAGAGTAGTTAGGGCTTGGTTTTTGTGTGGTAATTACTTCAAGTATTGTATAATTTATTAGATTCAATATGTATTATGAAAATGCCAAACTACTTTTCATTAAAGTACACATCATCTCTTAATCTCTTATTTCAATCAGGCATATGAGGACAGAGATATAGGTAAAAAACTAGATGGTTAGAAGGACATCTAATTGGGGAACAGCAAACAACCATCTTTTGTGGCAGTAGGATACTAAACCAAATAGAAATAAAAAGTATCAGAGTTTCTGACTCAGAAAGGGTTGTGAACTTTATTAAAAAAAATCAGTGATGGGAAGCATGAAATAGTGGCGCATCTAAGATTTTCACAGTGTTTGTGACAACAGAAATCTCATTCAATTCTTCCTTAACTTCATAGACTGAGGCCACATCTGTTAGATGTTAAACCCAGCATGATTTGGATTGTACCCAAGTCAGAACAAGTGTCTGTAGACCTGTTTGTGAAAGATATCTTTTGATATATGTAGAAACAAATTGGCTTGTTCCTAATTCCTGTAAAATGCATGTCTAACTGAAATATCAGCAAACCACAATAATCCCTGTTAACTGTATCCAATACTTTGCTGTTATGTTTGAAGGTCAGAGAATAAATTAGACCATTATATAAAGTACTGGTATTATATATACCTCAATCTTCTGACTAGAACTATTAATATACTTCATAGCTCATGGGTCTGAATTCTTTTGGGAGGGCAGTATCACATGGGCAGAAAATAAGATGAGAGAAATCTCGCATTTCCTATTGATTTTTCTCTAAAAATAACAATTCTATTTTTAATTATAGCCTCTTTTCCCTGCTAATCAGTCATGACACTCACAGATTAGCTCAGTTTTGAATAAAGTAGAAAAATATTTTAACTAAACCCAAATTTATAAACAGACGTCCATAGAAGTGTAGAAAATATATTAACTTGCTCTATTTATGCATTATGCTTATAATGCAAAATCCTTTGATTTTATGAGTAACTCCTCTTTCTGATAAATATCCAATTTTATCAATAAAAACAGTAGTGCAACTCACATCTCCAGTTCTGCTGTAACCATAGTAACTTCAAATAGAAAAGAGCCTTGTGATTATCAATTTGACCAAAGGTAAGGGAGTTCATATAGTTCAGAAATAGCTGTGCTTCAGCAAACTTTGTGAAGGTAAATGTTTTCTGTGCTTGAAATGTCAAAAGTTATAAAAAAAGAAATGTTAAAGATACATGAAATGTCTTTGGATTGGAAGGTCATTGTGAAGAATGTGTTAATAACACCAACATAGGCGAACTGCCAGAGTTGTACTTTTCAGTTATTTTTTGGTGGCTAAGGCTGAGATCAAATCTTTTCACTCTTTTTTTGACAGTTTTGTTCTGTCATTCACCTTATTCCATTACGACCACTGATACCCTGAAGCAACTTATTGCTGGGGCTTATTGCTGTGTTTGCCTTTCAACCACAGAGGACAATTGTTGTCAGAATGTCCTTATCCATGCTCAGAAGTAAGGCAGTTTCAATTTGAAGGTCTCTGATGCTCAGGGACCGAGAGCTGGAGGCTCCACTCCCCACAACAGCACCTTTTTCACTGTTTCTTTGCTGCTACTGATGAGTGATGCATGTAGAAGAACATAGGGACGAACTACTCCATTTCCTTTGAAGGGATCACACCAAAAAGATTCCAGAGTCAGGTTATATTAGAAATCAAAACACAATTCTGACACAAAGGAAACCCTTTCAACAGCAAAACAGTGAAATCTGTTATTTTACACGGATGAAATAACAAGAATTATCATGTGTTTCCCCAAACACATGCTAAATGATACCTATTAATCAGAATAAGGGAAAACATAAATCCTGGTGTGATATTTTACATCAAAGACTAATGAACAGAGAATTTTTGAATTTTAAAATTCTATTTTAAAATTCCTCTTATCTGAAGTCTTGAATTGCAAAACTTTTTCTGCTGGAAATGATAAATTATTGGAAGGAAATATTTCCTGTAATATGAATGATTCACTTGAAGTAACCTTGTTTTTGTCCCTAAAGTTTCTACCTTTTCTTTCTAGAGATGTGAGAGTTTTTTGAGGCATTCCTGAGTATCACAGATATTTAGAGACCGGTCTACAATGCAAAAAAAAAACCCCAACAACACGTTTCTAAGTATATCCAGTCATAAATTCTTTTCTTAATCTTAGTTCAAGTGCTAGTTTTCTATATAAGGAAAACCACAGCATATTAAGATAAATTCTTCTGAATCGATTTTACGGAAAAATCTGTATATTAAAGATCTTCAAATGCTCTTCAAAAATAAACCCTACATAATGCTATGACATTATTTCCTTCTTCCTAACAATATTTGTAACTTTTAACTGGCATACGTTTGTTTACTGCCCTAGTAGTAAAATTCTTCTTTTGACATATAAACATCTACCACTCATCTTTACTATTACGAATAAGGAGCTCAACCAGAACAATTTCTGTCAAGTCAGCAGATCAGTTTTTAACATCTTTTGAGACTTAATTGCTTTCCACAGCCAAGGGAAATTAAATCTCCTTTTGAAATGATCTTATAATCCTACACAGTGAAGAATTAAATAAAGATCAGGTAGCAAATCTGGCAGGAATTTGTTATTTCATCTTAGGACAGTAATTTATTATTCTATCCTAATTCTATAACACGAACAACATTTTACCAGATTTATTTATTTTTTTTAAGCTAGATATCACTTATAAAATCATTAGACTGACTATTTTATGCCCCAGTACATATCAGTTCTCCAGGGTACCATACGTTAACTGATTTTGGAATTCCAATGAGCTCTTTACATGGCTTGAGATTATAAATAACTAGCAAATCCTAGCACACAATGCAATATTTTCAACAGTTTCTACCATTTAATTAAGAAAGGTTAATTCAAAGTACTTTAAGTGTTCAAGGGACTCAATTTTACAGATAAGACTAGTAAAAACATTCAACAGCTTAGAATACTGTGAATAGATAACAGAAGGAGCAAGACTGAGTACTAAAAAACTCTTGGACGTGCACAGACACTCTGTATGAGCATAAGATTAATTATAAACTGTTTAGTTCATCACACTAGAAGTAGTTTTCTCAACTGCAGTGTCAGCTTTCTAAGCCTATTTAAAAATCTGGGAGAAGTAATCCTTGTCACTTCTTATTCCTTCCAGCACAAGAGAAGCTTCTCTTCCTCCCTCCTCCCTCCCCCTGCCAATGATTGTTTCAGATGAATCAGTGGTGATTTAATACTATTATAATCAAAATCAGTGCATCTGTCTTAGATATAATTCTCCTCATAAGTCCACACATTCATTTGTGAGACTAAATTGTATTGGACTGGAAAATGGGAAAAGAAACTAAGCCAACTGCAAAACTCTATTCATAGCACAATCAAGAAATGTACTTGGAAGCTGTAAGCAGCCTTTTATTCCATAACCAATTTGTTTTCCTAGGTTTTCTTTGTGCTTTCAGTTTGTGTTTTTCTCTTGCTCTGAGGACAGGCTCCAATCATGTGCTAAATCTTATTAAAGTACTTGGGTGATTTTATAAGTGGCAGCATATTGGATGCTTGGATTAATTTGAGAATAACAATTTGATGCAGCTTTTACAGCAATCTACCACAACCAGTTTTGTGGAAATAAGTTGTTTTACACTATATTTTTAAGCCGTCAGAATGATAAATCACAAGTTGAAAGTGTTCTGTTAAATACTGTGTGTTTATTTAAAGAATGAAACAGATTTGTAGAACAATGTTGCTTTCTGTCATTTCTTTTAATAGCCATGAATTTGAAAGATTTATTCATAAGTTTCTCAGAGAAGCTTCTCAAGGGTAGTTAATATTAATGCAGCATGTCATGTGCATCACAAAATACTTTCTGTTCCACTTCCTGTAACAGCTCAACTGAATTATTTTTTCTTTTTTTCTCTTTTTTTTCAAAAATCCAATGTACATTTGCAGGCTCTGAACTGTGTCTCCCTGTAACAACGTATCAAAAAATCCTTTTCACCTCCTCTTTCACTGTTGTTCCACTGACGCAGAAACCAATGCTTTTGTTTTAATATCAGAGTGCTATTAACATTATCAGTGTAACAAAACCTAGACAAATGTTGGAAACCTACACTTACTCTGAGGTTAGCCCTGTTTTGATTAGGAGGTTGGACTAGAAGATCTACAGATGTGCCTTCAAATCCAAATGATTCCAGAATTTTGTGATTCCAAAATTCACTGAGTCTGTTTCCCAGACTTGGAGATTTACTGTAACTTTAGTCTTTAAACCTCAAGTCTGCAATTTCAAGTCATCCTCTTGGTATGTACCTTATTAGAATTCTATTTAACATGAAACACTGCATTCAAATTGTAAACTGATACCTGATAAATAGTATTTATATGGCCAAATATGAAAGCTACGTTTCCTGTATCTTTAAATTGAGTTAGATCACACATGAATGCAACGTCTAAACTATTAACCATGAGGCTTCTGTGTTAGAGCGGTTCTCATATCAGTAATGAGCAGATTGGTGTCCTGAAGACTGAAAAGCAACATTTTTCCAGTCTCCCAGCAATTTCATTTATAAAGTTTGTGAACTAAACATAGATAAACCAGTTACTAAAGAGACCACAAGGGATCTCTGGAGCAAATTTGACTTATGATTATCATAATATCAGACATTTAATAGCTATGGAAATAAAAAAAATCCAGAACAGGGACTTTAAACATTTCTAGGGCACATGCAGTTGAGACATTCTTGTTTACTCTTCTGACTTTTGAAAAAGTAATTTATTTAAAATGTTACCTGGATCTGTGGCAGACATCAGAGATCCAAAAAATAAACAGTCAGTGAAGTGGAATTCCCATTCTTTCAACTGGCCAATGTGTACCATGGCCTTCACAAAACCATACATTATCAACCTGTCAGGGGAAAGATAAGATGGCATCCAGACAGAGTATATAACACTTATGCTTAATTTACAGTGTTAATCAGGTTCTTATTCTCTTAGCTTCTTTTAAATAAACATATCAAGTGAATGTTGAACACAAACTGATAGCATATAAAAATTCTATTCCATATTCAAGTATTGTATTAAAATGTCACAGACAATTCCAAAGCAAAGACTTTTCTGAATAACTGTCATTGCTGGCAGCAGAAGACAGTGGCTTTAGCTGTTTATTTTTCAAAAGGAAAGATAATGTAAGCTTAAGAAGACATTATTAAGGCTAATTTGGCTAATGTAGAATATTTAAACAAAGGCAGTTCTACTATCAGCTCTATGGCTTGCTCTAATATTTCAAAATGAATAGTTTTATTCTATAAGCCTTTAAATGTTAGCTGTATTCAAAGTTCCAGATAAGGTCTCCAAACGTAACAGATATTTAACAATTTACAATGATAGCAAGGCAATGAAGTCACACTTCAAAATGCACTGCTAAATCCTCACTAGTATCACAGGAAATGCTATCACTGGTTTATATAACTACGTAATGCTATCCAAGATGTGTATTCTAACCAGAATCTTGAAATATATAGAAAAAAGAAATTAACTTCTTCTTAGGACCTGTCGTAGATTTTTTAATTTTTATACATTTCCAATGTAGTTAATAAAAAACCCCCATAGCATTTAATACCTTTTCCATAAACACAATACATAAATTGACAACTGTGCTCTTCTAACTACAGGCTTTAAAAAAATAATTTAAGCAGAGCTACATGCATTCACACTTAGCTACTTGTTTCTGAAGTCATGTAAATGGAGATTTGAGCAACAGAGAAAATGCTACAAAACAAACAGCCTAAGAGTTAATTACAAATCATTTTCAGATACTTTACCAAGCTGTAGATTTTCTGAAGTTTTGTAACCTTATTATATTAAGAGGGAAGCAGAGAGTTCACCACAGAATTTCCCAATGGTCCTATGTATTTGTACATGTATTTATATGAGCTGCCTAGCTAAGAGTTAGAATCATAGAATGGTTAGGGTTGGAAAGGACCTTAAGATCATCTAGTTCCAACACCCAAATTACCCACCAATTGTTCTTAAATAGTTTATCCAATTGTGGGTCTCCTTGATTGATAAGCACACTTTCTCTCCATTCCCAAAGAATAATGATTCAAGACCCTTCAGTGGAGTTAGTCTTTTTATCCCCAGCACGAAGATTTCTGTTAAGGAATGAGTTCTCAAAAACTGACTGTGGTGCTGATTTGCAATTGTCTCAAAAGTCAACAGGAATGGAAGTGAACATATGCATGCCTTTTAGAAATAATTGCCCAAACTTGCTTGATATTTTGACAAATGATTCAGTTATAAATATTTTAAAATAACAAATTAAATTAAGTTTTGACTATCCAGCAAATTTACTTGTGGCAATTGTTTAAACACCTGGTGTAGACATCATCCTGGTCTTTAGCATTCTTTCTTTACACATTACTAAATATTTTCAGTATGCCTCAGTTTACCATCTGTACAGAGTTGCAGATGAACTGGACAAAACCAGATTTGGGAGTCTTTCATTCACATAGAAGGTCTAAGTTTGCGATCAAGTTTAGTACAGGACCTGGTCTTACTTCATATACCATCCAATTCTTGGCTGCACTGAAATGGGGAATAAAACTGAAGATCAGACCTAATGTGCCGATTTAGTCACTGGGATGTTAACCTTTATCCATCAGAGAAAGAGAACAGCAAACTCAGAACATGATACCTTTTTTAGTTTTTAATTCATTAACCACTTGATACATTTTGGTAATGCTAAAATGGTAAAAGTCCAAATTTTCAAAAAAAACCCAACTAAGTGCAGACATGCATTTGGAATATGTGAGAAACTGCTGCTTTAAATAAACCACAGGAATCTCTATTTGTACCTCTTCCATCTAGCACATATGAAAACATGCACAGAAATAATTTCCTGTAACATATCTGTTAAAAAGTTGTAAATTGTTACAAGTGTCAGTGACTGAATTTCCTCCAGAATGTTCCTGTCCCACTAAAATGGGACAACCAGTGCTCAACCCAGTGCTCACTTCTGACAGAGAGCAAGCCATCTACACAAATCAGGTTAATAATGTTAGGAACTCTGAAGAATCTTTTTAGTTCCAATTCCTGTCTGTGAGATCTTTTTTTTTTTTTTTCACTTGTACTAATCTAGAATGCTAAATTTTATTTTTTTTATTCTTTTAAAATATTAGAACTGAGCTTTTCAAGACTTCATAAAGGAAATAGCAGCTGAGTTGCAAATCAATGTAAACCTTATTTCCAATGTGCTATGAAAATCTGAACGTTAAAATACACCTGCAAAGTCATTTTAATTCATAGACTTTTTAATCTTGTTTCTAATTTATACTGCAAATTCTTTAGGAAACTGGTTGCTCCATAGACTATGGAACTAACCAGTAAGAAACCGTCCCTGAAGCCTTCTCACCTGGACTTAGTGATGGCTCAGTACTGACAGTAATGTTTGTGAATCACTGATTTGGTCATGGATTTGGAGCATTAATAAACTAATAAAATAGAAGAACAAAACTCAGATTAGCTGTGCTGCAGGACAGCTGACATTTTCTCCACCCAAAAGGCTTTTTAAATTGTGGGAGGATCTCAGCATGTATTTTGCCACTTCAAGAGGAAAAGAAATCCAGTGATGTAACAAAACTCAGGAGAATTCAGAATTTTCCAGATTATGCAAGTCTGGCAATTACAAAGTGCCTCATCTCTAAAAAATGTTACATATGAAGCTGTCATTACACAGTAGAGGAGATACCACATAAACATTGACCTGCTGAAGTAAGAATCATTTTCTGGCAACCTGCACTGTAAATACCATCATTTCCAGTACAAATCAGCAAGTAGATATAAAATCGCAGTACAGCTACGTAAAATAAACTTTAGCCTGACAAATAAAACACCAAAGTAAATAAGAGACAGTGAAGAACCAGAGCAAAACCTGTCAGGTTTAATGATTCTGAGTATTGGGTTGTCCTTACATTTTTGAAGCTGGATGGAATTAAGGATTGCCTCTGTGAAAAAAAGGGGTAAGAATCTCTATGTGTAAAAGGTCCAGGTTTTTTACTACCACCAGTTCTGCTGCTACTAACCTTTTATTGCCACGCATTGAGGAAAGGAGTTGGGAAAGTACACTGGCTGTCTGGGTACTGCTGGAAGTTCCCAGTGAATTTATTTATAAAGCAGCCATCTAGGAAGGCTACTCTTGGACTGGCACACTCTTGATCTAGCTGCTGTTTAAACGTAGGGGAAAAAAAAAGGAGTCCTCTCCTAAGGACTTTACAGAGTAATTACTACACAAGAAACTAAATGCTCAGAAGAGCTTTAGGTGCAGCTTAACAGAAACCTATTTTTTGCAAGAGTTTTCTTTAGCACCAGTTGGTTTTAAGGGATCTAAAAAGTGATACTGAAGTTTCTTTGGGTTTTTTTGGGAAGTTCTTGTCAGGAAGTTCTAAATAGTGAAACATCCATCCAGCATTCTGCTAGTAAAAGAGAGATAATTTACAGTTTTAAAGCAGAGACAAACAGGGTATGTCTGATGCAGAATAGAATAGGGAGGCTGGAGGAAAGATGCAATGGAGGAAGCTGTCAAGGGACCAGGAGAATGATTTTAACAGAATCATGTAAATAGCCATAAACAGGATCACACTATGTCTGTGAAGCAAAAAGATACTGGAGTCATCTAGACAGGAAAGATGAGAGTCTGGCAAGAGTTTTAGCCACATAAGTGGATGAGAAAAGGCATATAAGGAATATGTCAGTAAGCAGCATACTAGACGTCTAAATATACAATAAAAAAGGCTGTACTGGACTTAAATGCAGCTCATAAAAATACAACCCCAGTTACCAACATTTCTGGGAACACAACGTGTGTCCAAAAGAACTGCTGAGATGGGCTAGATACACACAAACCATGAACAAAGGGGGACAAGATGACAGTGACAAGCAGGCTACTTTTGTGATATGAGACAACACAAGTTGAAATATATCTTACAAATCTCTCATGGTAAAAGTACGCCTGAATGGTGCAGTCAGGTGAGAAAAGCTGTGCTGAGATTTGTTTCCTAAGAAAAACTGGCCAAATCTTCAGCTTGCAGAAACTGGCATCACAGCACCTATTCCTCGGCATTAGAGCAAACTGAAATATTTATGTCAATAAATACATATTGGCATGCTGGTTTATAGGATACAGCTTCTTAGATGAGCAACTGCATCCTCACATGCAAACTAATTGGAAAACCAATCAGTTCTAAAAGAACCTACTCTTAATTTAAAGCTGTCTAGGACAGAATGTAACAGAAACCACCAAGTGAAGATGTACAGTACACATACCATAACCTCAATACAGACAGACACATCTGCCTGATGTTTTTGTCAGCAATTGTATTTTCTTCAGTTTTGTTATTCATTGCAACATAAGTACTGAATCTCACTGCTAAGAGTCTTTATTATGTTAAAGGTTTAAAAAGCATAATTCCAAATTTAAGGTGTTTGTACAGTTATACTACGTAGCATGAATGAGACTCGTAATTTAAATCTTTCTTGCCAAATATATTTTTTAACCTGCAGAGAATTTTTCTTCTCATATTCTAACTCCCTAAAGATTCCTACTCTATCTAGACATGATTATCTTGTAGCCTGAAGCCAGTTGAACATAGCTGCAGATTGTAATCATGCAACCAAAAGATGAAAAAGAACTGAGTTGCATTTCTTTCTTTTCACAAGAAATAGTAATATTAATAAGCCAAGAATAGGAAAAAATAGATTATTTTATTCTTGCTTGTGTATGAAATAGCATAGTGATTGATTGATATCACAACAGTAATAAAAAGTTACTAGTCAGAATTTAAAATACATGCTGGAAAACACGAACAGTAGAGATGAAAATTAAATACACATTCCTTTATTCTGATCTATTTCTACCATACCAATATATTCCTATAACTTTTTCTATATAGGGAAATGCTTCTTATCAAATGTTTTGGCTACAGTGATTTATTATTTCAAAGTGCTTTATGTACTGTTATATTCTTCTTTTTGTCATCTTTTAAATCAGTTTTGTCACTAGAAAGGGTTTTATGGGTTTTTCTTCAAGAAATCATTTTCTAACTCAAAAAACCCTCAGTGAAGTGTCTCTGGTACAAATAAAGCAATAATAAATTTACCTTAAGCTATTCTGTATAAATTGAATACTAAGAAAACCCCTTTGGCTATAGAAATAACTGGAAGAACAGAAAAGAAACTGGCTTTACAATTCCAGTGCATACCTAGTTACCTGAGGCACAGTGACTGCTCAACAGCTGAGTATTAGAAATATAAGCATAGCTTTAGGTTATAGATCTGACAAACAGTTCAAGTGAGCACAGCTGTGCTCCTGGCAGGACATTTGGTGATGTAAGAAGTGCTTTTGCTTATCATTTCCCAGTGAGCAATGGGAACCACCAAGTAGTTTTTTAGTAGTCACAGATTACCTTTTTTTGCTTCATAAATCAGAAGTTTCGATGGGAAAGCCTACTGGAGAGAAACACACTTTACACCTCACAGATATGATGTATGTGGAAGAAAGGCTGTGTTTCAGTCACCATAGTTCTACAGATAACTTAACTTACTAAGGTATTCCTGTGGTATTGGACTTTTGGGATAGTAATGGCTGTTCAAATTTATTTAAACTATCAAGCAAACAGATACAGAACATGGATTAAAACATCCAGCACAGGTTTCTGTATCAGTAATTTGGGGACCATCAGTTACAGAAAAAGTGGAGATGTGATACATGCTTCAAAATGTTTACCTTAGGTTCTGCAACCCATCTTTACTGTTACAGGACCAAAGTGAAAGATGGCCCTTAATGCTGAAACTGGGAGAGATCAATTGAAAAGCATGCAAACACATGCATTTGATGCTTTAGGACTGGCTTGAATGAGACTATGCAGAATGCCTGTAGTGGTCAGAAAGCCTGAATGTCTGAGACTTTGCTTACTTAAAAACAACCTCCTATGGAGTTGTGCTCAAGTAAAGACCTGCTGCAGGTCAGTATGAATTTTATTTTGGTTAGTCTTCCATTGTACATTTGACCATGGAAAATATCAACTGAGATACAGAAATTCTTTCATTTAAAATAGAAAAAAACATTTTACCCAGGTTTAAAATTTCAAGATGCAGTTCTGGATTTTGCAAACTATGCTAACAATGCAACAAAAGTGAGTGAGGAGTGAAGAAAGGGGAGTAAAGTGTGAAGCATATATATAAGCTGAAAAGTTCTGTACTGTAGTTTTACAATGTTTTGCATCAAAGACATACAAATCAATTCACCACAGCTCACAACTGCACAGTACTATTTAATGTGTTTTTAATATGCCTCTAATGAGGAAAACAAAGCTTCAGGATCTCTGTGTTCCTGAGCTCTATTTAAATCAGATCCATTATGCATTACATACATAAAACCCTGAACCTCTTTGCAATTAGAAAGCTGTACTTGATCTTTGAGTGATAACCAAAATCTCATAATTACTTGCACAAATGAGCCATGAAACAGTGTCAACTGTACTGTGTCCGTATGACAGTGCCACTGAATATTTAATTGCACTACAAAGATTTAAATATTACTTCAAGATTTACTTTACTCAGTATTATTAATGAGAGAATCTCCCATAGATAATGAATAACTGACAATCCTACACACATATTTTGAGACAGATATCCTTATGACAGTAAAAATAAAATCTAAAAAAAAACCAGTCAGACATAAAATCTTCCAGATACAACGATAATTATTTCAGAAATGCCTAAATCATGGCTGTACAGAAGGTGGTGGAATTCTACTCAAAATATTAGTGACACTAAGAGACTTCCATATGAAAAGAGAAGGACTGAAAATACCTACTTTACATAGGGGAAATAAGATAGTGACAGTAGCACCTACAGTGGTTAAAAACATTGTAATTAAATGTCAGTAATTCTGAGTTCTCAGATTACAGAACTGTTGTCACAGACTGAACTAAAACATAGTTCAGTCAGGGTATTAGGTAATTCAGATTCATTACTTGGCTAATTCATTCAGTCAACAATTAATGCAGTCCATCAACTAATTATTTCAATTACTATCATTATTATAGCAATCGTAACGTGCAAGCTTCTTCTTTACCTACAGGATGTCAATTTATCCTCAAACCATTCAAGAGTTTTATAAGCTGAAGAAAACCTATTGCAGCAATTATAAAATCGCCTTCTCTAAGAGAAGTTTCTTTCAATTTCTTAGCTGAGTGGGTGCTCTATATTCTGAAATGTGAAGACCCCTAATCCCATCTCATTATCAATATAAATGTCTGACACTATTAAAAACTCTGCTAAATCCACAGCTTTAACAACATCTGATAGCATTAAGTATAATGGATTAGCTACAGACCAAGAACAAAAGTCTGTATCTGTTTTCTTCATCTTTGAAGCTTCAGATGTGCTAACCTTTAATATCATTGACTAACACCTCATTATTATATTGACAGAGGGATATATAAGGATCATTTTGTCTTTCCTTTTCAACCTCAAGAATATTCCACGTGCCAAAAGAAAACTTTTATATGAGTTTTCTTCAGAGCTGCATGTAACAGCAAAATCCTACTTTAAGAAGTAGGTTTCAGGACAGCTGACATTGTTAGTATAAAAGACCTGTCTAGGGAAATTCTTCAAACCTCACAGTCCTGAATGATTAAAAGACAAAAAAAAAGTCTGATTCAGCAGAAATTCAGAAGAAAAGTATTTTGAGTCAAGAAACTGAGAATCAATAATATTTTGAACTCCTTCTCCAAGTATAGAAACATTGCTAGATACTAACCTGCAATCCAGTCTATGTGGAAGACAGACTCATGTTTCTGGTAATAATTCAACACTGAACTAATTCATGAATAATTCAGCTATTCTGTAAATTTCAGAATGAATGCCCCTGAAGATTCTAAAACAGCAATATTTTTCCCTGCATTTAAACATACAGTGTAAATATTGAATTTTACAGATAAAATGTGAAAATAATTAATTTACTGTTTCCCATCAAAATAACCCCATGACCTTATTTGCAGTGACCTGTTACAGTAGATTTTCACTGGAGCACCTGATGTTCCCTTTAAATGAGCTTGTACTACCATTAAAAGATAATTATGATCAGTTTGTGATTTCAGAATAATGTAAATTAGATTAGAGAATAACCTGCTGTAAAATAGGGCATGAAATGAACTATAGAGAAACACGTTTGAAACCACTTCAGCATTTTTATTGGATTATCTCAGTCAAATAATGATACAAGTGCTCAAGAACAAACAACAGAATTTATACGCACACTGTGAGAGAAGACTGTCAGGTGCCAGTGATGGATGTTTAATCTACAGTGAAGTTTTGAAATGTAAAATACATAGTTTGGGAAAATAGTTGAATGTTTTTAGAACAGACAGGGATCTTGCTATGGCTTGAGAGTTCTCAGGTATCTATCTGGACTTAGTCCACTCTCTCACAGAAATAAAGGAAACTTAAGAATACCAATCCTAAATTTCGCATTTCTAGGTTAGGGTGTAGTTACCTCTTGGGATATAGTTCAGTCTTATGCCAGATTTTCTGCCTTAGTAATTGAAACTCAAAACTTAGAGCTCTGAAAGGTTAAGAGTCTCCGTAAGTGTGTAGACAGCAAAAGAAAACTATCTAACCTTTAACAAACATATTAAATTTGATTTTATTTTTTTAAACAGCACTCTTGCTATAGCAAACAAAGGTGGAGGAGAAAGACAAGTTTTCTTATGTCCAGGCTATCTCTTGTTTCATGGGATACAATAGTACTTATGTGCAGTGCTGTTAATTGGTGAGGTGAAAACTGTGGTATTTTTCCTTGAAAAAAAAAACAACAAAACAGAACCAAAACAAACCTTAATGACAGGCATAGAGATAGGTCTAATGTGTCATGAAACTACTGTGATAAACTTTTACAAAGAGAAACCTTCTAGGCCAGTAAATAACCTCTAAGGGTAAAAGTATTTGTCCTGATATAACTCAGAATGAGTCATTGGGACATAACATTTACAGCAGTTACTTAACTCCTGGCAAACAGGTTATCTCCTGCTAATATTGCTATCCTTAACTCCTATGCTGGATAGAAATGTTCTTTTAACACATTAAAAAAGCAGCAGAGTCCCAAAGCCCACTACAGTGCTACCATATTTTTATTTTCAAACACTCTTATTTAATAGGTTTGTGGCTTCTAAAGTTGTAATAATATAAAATTTGGCAAGTATTGGTGTCCTAAAGAGATGTTGAGGCTGCAGTTATGAGTCTGCAGTATTACAAGAGCTGTATCTTCCCCAACCTGATTATATTACTGTACCATACAGATCACCTTGTTCAGCAGGTATACAAATATTTTAATCAAATCCTTCACACAGTGTTGTCCTTTTTCTGTTCCATAGAATCTAGCTCTCTCTTCATTGTAGTTTTGTTATTTTTATATTAAAATGCATCAAATATGCATCTGCTAAAATAGCTCTTGATTTATGACTAATTATAAGAAGAGCAGTGTTGTGCTGAAGATTTGACTATTTTGTCTCTGATGCCACAAAAGTTGTCTCTGATGCCAAAAAAGCCAAAGAGAGCTCAGTTAGTTACCATATGTGAGGAGCACTGGGAATGGGGGAAGTGAATACTGGGCAACTAGATGGAAATAAGAGGACTTGTGTTTCTACACTCACTGCCCATTCCTGTCCCTACTCCTCAGGCAGCCTCAGGAGCAGTCTATGACACTGAAAGGAGGTCCCAGAAACTTCTCCCAGATTGGTTGCCAAAAATATCTACCTTCAGCCTCAAGAGGACTTTGAACTAACTTGCTCCAGATTTTTCTCAGAAAATCCTTTGGGGCAAATACTAATAATAACCAAACATGTTGCATGCTAGGCATCCGCTCTTTGGGGAGAGTGTGAGGGATGGGATTAGAGAAGCCATTCCCTAATCCTCTGCTTTTAAGTATGTTTAAAAGCAACTGACAAATTCAAGGTAATGAATGACAACGCAAATGAAAACCTCCTGTCCACGCTACCAAGAATATACTAGATACCCCGAGTGCATACTGCTTTTTGTCAGGCCTGCCCCATACCAGGGTGATCCATAAACTTCTGCCTCACAGGCTTGAACCCTGTAAAAAGCCCTGTGTACAGATTATTTTTGTTCTTTTAATGGAGTTCAACCCTAACCCCAGCCACACAGCAGTACCTTCTGTGGCTCTGTGCTATGCCCATGCTCCTTACTGACATCAACCAAGGGTGGGTCCTGTATATAAGCTTAGCAATTGCCAGGAAATTTGATTAGTTATTGCTAGTAAAAGGCAGTAGGTGGAAGCTATTGCTTATTCCTTCGGGTCTGTAGGATATAAACCTATGGGACCCTGTAGGGTATATGAATAAACCTCTGGCATAAATCTCAGTTGTGTCAAGACTTACTTCACTCCCTCTCCAGTCTTTCATTTCCTTTCCCCTGAAGGCAGAACAGCCTTCTAAAGAATTGTATTTTATTTTACTAGCACTAGGATCCGATTAAGAAGACTTACACAGGCACAAGTCAGATATAGAAAAGAGAGTTTTGCCACAGCATTTCTGAATAGTTTGTAGTAGCAGCATCTTTAGGACAGATTGACTCAATGCATCTCAGGAAGGGCACTTTTTCTAAACTCCAAGGCTGGCACATGCCTAGTAGCAGGACATGCTATTCCCGTTACAGGGTTTTCATAATGGTTGTATGTCTTGTTTCACAAATAAAATTTCCCGTTCTACAGGATGACGTTTGACAATCTTCAAAATCTAAAGCTACTACTGTAGCTTTTAGTTGAAATAATTAAATGGAAAATTGCCTTAATTGTTTCCTGGGTGAGGCAAATGAATGATAAATAAATTGATTAAACAGAAATGCAGTTGTACAGTACTGGCTGCTTTCACATGGAAAATATAATTTCTAAATATATGAAGAATAAATGGGTTTGATGAGAAAAGATGTTGACTTTGGAACAGCTCTAATATAGTGACAGTGGATTACATGCGATATTGTTCTTAAATGTGTATGTAAAAACATCAAACCAGGGACAAATAATTTTTGCCTAACCCATGAGAATTACATGTCAAATTAAATACAAACATGAATAAGGCAAGCATATGGGATTCAGCTAGCTGAAAGTATCACTAAAAAACTGTTTGTATCCTTTTCTTCACTTGCTCAGATTTAATATTACTCCTAGGGTGTAAATGGGGAGTAACTGCACAAATAACTTTGGACTTACATTGCTGTTCACCAGGCATGACTCAGTCCCTGAACATGTTTTGTATGTTTTATTGATATTTGAGTATTTAAAGAGCTGGGATTAAATATCCCCTTTTCTTTTCTAGATATGAACTCTGTCAGATGAATCATACGAACATTTGCCTACCCATGTGACACAGCGCTTAATAAGATTCAGTGTTTACTAATGTAAATAAAGTGATAATCAAAAGCAGGAAAGTAAACTCAACTTCCCCTGTTAGAACAAGCTGATTATTTCATGCAAGTTACACTTTTTTTTATTTGTTGCTGTTTTCACCAAGTCTATGACAGCTAATTGGACAACATTTTCCCTTTATGTGGTAAATTAGGGCTCTTTCAACTGAAGCAAGGGCTATCAAGGAGTAAGCAGAGCTAGAACTTAGGAGTAATGAATGCTCTGTCCTCACCTCCAGCATGTCCATTGCTCGCCCGAGCAGTCTGACAGTGTGCCAGCTCTGTGCCACCTCCTTTTCCTATAGGGATCTTTAACTTGGCCAGTTGCAACACTTCTGTGCTGGGTGATGGAAACAGAGGCTGTATCAGACCTGACAACTGCATACTAAGCTTAATCTGACCTTAAATTTCCAGTTTTATGAAGGCAGAACAACATTAGTGATTGGTAGAAAGGCAGACGTAACTTGCTGAGATTCAGGGTAAGTTTATGTGTCGCATTGTGCAGTTATGTCTGCATCAGAATGCAGCAGTTGTCAATAGTTCTTATCAATCTGATAAAGCATGTAGAACAGGAAACAAGAAATACAATCAAAACTGCAGGGGAAGTCTGGGTGAGAAAAATGCAATGTAATTATTATGGCTAAAGCTAGGAAGGACACTGGGGCAAATGTCACCACTCCTGCAAAAGTGTGCCGTGGGTTCTTTATACACATGCTATTCAGAGTTTTAAAGTTCTAGAAGCACAGATACCTTGCATGTATTGCTGGGCCGTATCCTATTAGAGGTGAAAGGAATATTTACTGAACCTCTGACACTGTAATAGTATGTTTCCTACACACCAGCGCTGGCTTCAGAAATTCTCTCCACAGCCCTCTGCTGCTGTGAGCCAGAACATGGGTGGAGTTAAGTGGCTATGGAGTAATGCACTGCAATCAGACACAGATTTGACAAGAGGCTGGAAAATATTTTTCCAGCAATGGGACTGATTAGACATTCACAGCTAGAGCTGAGGCACTGTACAAATGCAAATAGATTTGTTCTCTATAATGGCAGCAATTACTGCTTTTCTTCGTCCTATAGCTGGATCAAAGCAGAGAGAAAAGGGTTGACGTTTCTGCAGTTCTGGAATTGTTCTTTCATTATTTCCATGCTCCCACGTTTTTATGTATACTGGACAAACTACCCAAGAATGCACTGCAGAGTAGCCTTTTAGGGATGGAATAATGAGCTATATGGTCTAATAGCTCTTTTCTTGCTCTAATTTCTGTGCCTCTATGATCTCCTCCTTCATTTCATCAGTTCAAAGATCAGAAAAAGATTATATTCCTAAATGAGCAAGACTGAAGAACATTCCTTTCTTGGGAGGACACTGATATAAATTAACTGATATTATGTCACTAAGCATTGCCTACTGTGAACTGTGGTAACTTTGGGTTTGATATTATACAGCAGCTGTATCTGAATTTAAGACTGAATTGAGTTTGTGCGGCAGGGTTTTGGTAGTGGGGGGGGATACAGGGGTGGTTTCTCTAAGAAGCTGCTAGAAGCTTCACCTGTGTCAGATAAAGCCAATGCCAACTGGCTCCAGGATGGACCTGCCCCTGTCCAAGGCTGAGCAATGGTAGTAGTGCCTCTAGGATAATGTATCTAAGAAGAGGGGGGATGGAAATTGCGCAACAGCAATTGCAGCCATAGGGAGGAATGAGAATGTGTGAGAAACAGCTCTGTAGGCACCAGGGCCAGTGAGGAAGGAGGGGCAGGAGGCGCTCCAAGAGTCAGGGCATGTTGTGCAGCCCATGGTTTGAGCCAGGCTGTCCCCCTGCAGCACATGGAGGTCCATGGTGGAGCAGATATTCACCTGCAGCCCATGGAGGACCCCACACTGGAACTGAGGGATGCCCAAAGGAGGCAGTGACCCCATGGGAAGCCCGTGTTGGAGCAGGGTCCTGGCAGAACCTGTGGCCCTGTGGAGAGAGGAGCCCGTGTTGGAGCAGGTTTGCTGCAGAACTTGTGACCCCACAGGGGCCCACCCATGGTGGAGCAGTCTGTTCCTGAAGGATGCAGCCCATGGAGGGGACCCACACTGGAGCAGTTCATGAAGAACTGCAGCCTGTGGGAAGGACTCAGGTTGCAGAAATTCATGGA